TGAGGCAATTAGAAAGATCTATCGGGGCGTACATTTGGTGTTACTCATCTGAGTCATGTTTTAATAATGGTACCCTCTGTACTTTTGACGAATTGTGTGTCAAGTTTTCTCTGCCAATGCCAATGTCGATGCACTTCTACTATACTCAAATAAACAAGCTGTAGCGGCGTAATGACGTCAGCCAATCCTCATCTCCAGTATTCACATGATGTCCACTACAACTTTCACCAGGGGTTTCATCTCTCATTGTTCTGCAGGCAGACTTCCTGAAGTAATTTCCCTTGAGGATGGAAAAGCAGTAGGGGATGGACCTTGGCCCCTTTATAGAGGATCAGTGGGAGCAAGCTCTAAAAGCGGTGCCACAATGTAGGAAAAAGAAGCACAGAGGTGGCACAAACACCTAGCGCATTATACAAGGTCTATTAAAATATATACATCTGTTACAATTACAACATATGATCACAATCCATGATAAAACATCACATAAACAGCGTAAGATTCTTATTGGGGTGGTTAATGTATGTATGTGTATGTGTATATATATATATATATATATATATATATATAGTACAATTACATGTCAATTTCTTCAGCTGGAGCCCTGGGTAACAACTTTCGCCTAATTCAGCTTCATCGGGAAGAATTCCATTATCAGGGGCGCTCCCCCAATATGTCCAGCAATTTATTATAATAAATATGCTGTATTACGTTGCTGCACATATTGGTGGAGTAATCTGGTAATATGTTAAACACGGACATTTGATGGACCCATACACAATATATATTTTATGTAGAATTACTCGTCGGGTCGTTGTGTCTCTTCTGCGGTACACCCTATTACGCTCTGGTTTCGTTTCCGTGTGTATGCAAGAGTGTAGATCCATTTACCATCTTGTTTTGGATTATTTCCAGCGAAGTGCATGGTTCCTGGTATGGGTGGCTACTTACCTATGGTGAGAATGAACCTGCAATCCAGTTTTGAATATAGGATATACACTCACTGGCCACTTTATTAGGTGCACTTTGCTAGTGCCAAGAAAATCTCCCCCCCACACCATGACACCACCACCGTTGATACAAGGCAGGATGGATCCATGCTTTCATGTTGTTTAGGCCAAATTTTAAACCCCACAATCTGAATGTCGCAGCAACCAGTCTGCTCATTCTCCTCAGACCTCTGACATCAACAAGGCCTTCCTCCACACAGCTGCCGCTCACTGGATATTTTCTCTTTCTCGGACCATTCTCTGTAATCCCTAGAGATGGTTGTGGGTACAAATCCCAGTAGATCACCAGTTTTTGAAACACTCAGACCAGCCCGTCTGGCGCCCAACTACCATGCCACGTTCAAAGTCACTTCAATCCTTTTATTTCACCATTCTGATGCTCGGTTTGAACTTCGGCAAGTCATCTTCATCACATCTAGATGCCTAAATGCATTGAGTTGCTGCCCTGTGATTGGCTGATTAGTAATTTGTGTTACCAAGCAATTGGACAGGTGGACCTAATAAAGTGGCCGGTGAGTATATTCTGTACTGTTCTCAATGTTTACACTATAATATATGTTTTTTTCAATGTAGTGATTCCCCTGATAATGGAAATCTTTCTGATGAAGCCAAATTAGGTGAAATAAGTAGAAGTTAATACCTGGTGCTCTCCAGCTCCAGAAATCGACATCTAATTTTACTATATATACTGTACCTAACCACCTTGACAAGAATGTTACACGTTTTATGTGATATTTTATCATGGATTGTAATATACAGTTGTCCTTTGGCACTTGCTATGTATTCAGGAATGAAGGGGCCAACTGGCCTTCCAACTGTCCCTATTAGGTCTTACAATGACTTTTCAATCATATGTGTGATTTCTGGTGGCTCATAAGTGGTTGAATTGCACAGAAAATTGCCACATGCGTGTGTCTGCCCTTCAGGCTACACGTGTCACACCCACCTGGGTCACAAACATATTCTGCTGGCTCTTTTTACCAAACTGCAGTCGGCTCAGAAGAGATGACCAAAGCTTCACTGGCTCTGAATTATCCGCCTGCATGTTTTATAATCTCTTCTCTTCATCAAGTGTCCTATGACACAGTTGAAAACCTACGTTCTTCTAGTATCTGTGACATTGTTACCCACACTATGGAGTTTTTAAGATTCCTTCATAATTGTAGCTATTACTGGCCCATGAGCTCATGCAGTAAATGTCTTAAAGGGTGGACGTTTAATTGACTGTATTCAGCCAAAGGGCAAACTTTCATACCCATTCTCTTTATTATGATAAACAATTTCCTGCCACAGTGAGCGTTCCTTTGCCCCGATGTAGTGGTGAGACTACTTCTCTATGGCTCTCAGCGCTCATAGTTATGATATAATAGCATTATTATCTCTTTTCCAGGAGCGGAGGCAGCCTTGTAATAGAAGGTGTTGGAGACCTCTCAGGAGGCTGCTGGGGAGACTGGAGAAAGATTTACCCGGGCTGTATAAATTGTCTTTCAGCATAACAGCGTTCATTGTAAAGTAACCAACAAGAAGTGAATTAACTATGGCTACGCAGTTACACTGGCAGGCTGAGAGTTTATATAATATCTTCAAATGTCAGTGCGGAAATTATTCTTGATCTTTGGCCATGCGTTTGTACGGCTCTGGAAGAACACAGCCAGCTCCAGCAGCGAGACCAAGTAGTTATCACATCTCAGCCCGATGTATGCGAGGCGCCGCTGCACAGCACCAGACTGTCATTCACAGAACAACATGGGGCCTTGGGCCTGCCAATGTCTCCACAGCAAAGATGTTTTACAACTTAGGTACTTCCAGTCATATTCAGAGCTGGAATGACGGAAGCTTCCACCCTCCTTGTGTTAAAAGGGACACTCCATTTAAAGTTGCAAATGGACTCTTGTAGGAAGTGTAGTGAACATGGGCCTTCCGTTTTTCACCTAGGCACTGCTGTAGTGCTCCAGTCCATTTGTCTCCGTTTTACTGGTAATCATGGTACCAGTCTGAACGGGGGAGCTTCTTGTCTGCACTGATTAGTGATGCCACTTTTATATATTCTGCTGATTCTCAATTTTAGTTCACTGTCCTTTGACAGAAGAAACCAGACCTGACTTAAATTGGTGGGCAGTCAAACAGGTTGATGGTCCCACAAACTTGTCTGGCACACATGGTCAGATAATCGGATTACTTGTTCGTTTTTTGTTGCATTTCTCATATCGAAAATGAAGAGGTTACTAAAGTTACGAAAATTCTCGTACCACAGAACACAACTTTGGAATTGATGTCATGTATTGCATTGTAATGTATTCTTTGGTTTCTAAGCTTGTGTGGTCTTCATCATACGCGGTTATCATACGAGAAAAATCTTTGTGCTTGTTCCTGCGGATATTGTCGCATGAACTGTTGTGATCAGCCGTTGAAAGCTGTGTACTAACGATCAGATTATCTACGATTCCTCCGAAAGCGATTTTTGTCATCCAATTTTCTGATTGTGTGTATGGGGCAAAACATCTATGTCTTTGATAGAATTCTATCAGATTACTTGTTCCTGTCTGTGCCCTATAAATATGATATCTCCCTTCACTTCCTGTCCCAGAGAGTGAGAGGAAATCTCTACAAAGGGCCTGTCAACAAGCCTTTGTTTCATATGGATTTTTTTTCATTACATACAAGTCTATGGGAATGCAAAACCCACTTGAAGCAGGTCAACTGCAGGTCAGAGGCACCTGTCAGTGAATTCTGAAGCATCTCACACTGATGGTGAACAGATGCCAAGTCCAAGGCCCATCGACACTGGCTGTAATAGAAATCCTCCTTACACAGTCAACACCAGAACAGGTGTCCCCATTGGAAAATTACCCTCTAGTCCTGCTCTGGGGACAACTGTAAAATACAAATTCTCCATCACTTTAAGTTCTGGTGACAGTGGTCATCAGATAACATAGAGAGGGTGACTCTACTTACCGTGGATGCAGACAATGATAAAAACTTGACAGGCATTTTAGGTATTTTCTGCTCTGGAAAAAAAATTTTGCTTTGGATACGCTTATCAGATGGGTCTATGGGTGATGAGTAATAATCGCAGGACAATTTTTGACCATCACAAGCAGCTGCTTTACATATTTTTTCATTTAGGATAGCATTGTTCTGACAGAATGAATTAATGATAAGGATGGACTACTTCATTGGCTGAAAACCTGTAGTCCAGGGTCCGTTCTGGTGCCTAGTCTCAGAGATGTGTGTTTGTTGTGCGGCCCCCTTCGTGGAATTAGCAGTTGTAAATCTACGTCTTCCAGGCTCTATGAGCTCATGTCTGCTCAGATAGACACAGCCCGTTGAGAATTAAGTAGGTGTTGAAAATTAAGCGTTTATTTAAGATGGGTTTATTTAGCAGCAACAAAACAGAACGTTGATTCCTGGGCCCCCGAGCTCTCTCTGTGGGCTGTCTGTGGCATGCCGCTCTCTGAACATGTAAAATGTGTGTTTGTTTTCATACGACTGGAATTATATGTGGCTCTGATGCTTCCAGGGAGACGTGCATTGTAGGTGCAGGTGAAGCTTCGGAAACTGTGATAAAAATTGTCCAGAAAGTAGTGCGTTTGGTTTATTGGACAACATGCAGTGACCCAGAACAACCAGTCAGAAATGATATTACACTGTGCTGATTGAACTGAAGTTAGGGGAAGTGACTGGAGGGGTCTCTGTAGTATCTCTACTACTCAGACTGGACACAAGTAATACCATATTTTTAAAATATGTTTAAGTATGTAGCTCCAGGTATAGAGCTAAAGCAAAGTCTATGTAACCCAGTCTCTGAAACCCATGGACTGTGCAACCCAGTCTCTGAAACCCATGGACTGTGCAACCCAGTCTCTGAAACCCATGGTCTGTGTAACCCAGTGTCTGAAACCCTTGATCTGTGTAACCCAGTGTCTGAAACCCTTGATCTGTGTAACCCAGTGTCTGAAACCCTTGATCTGTGTAACCCAGTGTCTGAAACCCATGGTCTGTGTAACCCAGTGTCTGAAACCCATGGACTGTGCAACCCAGTCTCTGAAACCCATGGACTGTGCAACCCAGTCTCTGAAACCCATGGACTGTGCAACCCAGTCTCTGAAACCCATGGACTGTGTAACCCAGTCTCTGAAACCCTTGATCTGTGTAACCCAGTGTCTGAAACCCATGGTCTGTGTAACCCAGTTTTGTGTCTGAAACCCTTGATCTGTGTAACCCAGTGTCTGAAACCCTTGATCTGTGTAAACCCAGTGTCTGAAACCCATAGTCCGTGTAACCCAGTGTCTGAAACCCATGACCTGTGTAACCCAGTGTCTGAAACCCATAGTCCGTGTAACCCAGTGTCTGAAACCCATGACCTGTGTAACCCAGTGTCTGAAACCCATAGTCCGTGTAACCCAGTGTCTGAAACCCATGACCTGTGTAACCCAGTCTCTGAAACCATGGTCTGTGTAACCCAGTGTCTGAAACCCAAAGTCTGTGTAGCCCAGTGTCTGAAACCCATAGTCCGTGTAACCCAGTGTCTGAAACCCATGACCTGTGTAACCCAGTGTCTGAAACCCATGGTCTTGTAACCCAGTGTCTGAAACCCAAAGTCTGTGTAGCCCAGTGTCTGAAACCCATAGTCCGTGTAACCCAGTGTCTGAAACCCATGACCTGTGTAACCCAGTGTCTGAAAAACCCATGGTCCGTGTAACCAGTGTCTGAAACCCATAGTCCGTTAGTAACCCAGTGTCTGAAACCATAGTCCGTGTAACCCAGTGTCTGAAACCCATAGTCCGTGTAACCCAGTGTCTGAAACCCATGACCTGTGTAACCCAGTGTCTGAAACCCATGACCTGTGTAATCCAGTGTCTGAAACCCATGACCTGTGTAATCCAGTGTCTGAAACCCATGATCTGTGTAATCCAGTGTCTGAAACCCATAGTCCGTGTAACCCAGTGTCTGAAACCCATGACCTGTGTAACCCAGTGTCTGAAACCCATGACCTGTGTAACCCAGTGTCTGAAACCCATAGTCCGTGTAACCCAGTGTCTGAAACCCATGGTCCGTGTAACCCAGTGTCTGAAACCCATGACCTGTGTAACCCAGTCTCTGAAACCCATGGTCTGTGTAACCCAGTGTCTGAAACCCATAGTCTGTGTAGCCCAGTGTCTGAAACCCATAGTCCGTGTAACCCAGTGTCTGAAACCCATGGTCCGTGTAACCCAGTGTCTGAAACCCATGACCTGTGTAACCCAGTCTCTGAAAACCCATGGTCTGTGTAACCCAGTGTCTGAAACCCAAAGTCTGTGTAACCCAGTGTCTGAAACCCATGACCTGTGTAAACCCAGTGTCTGAAACCCATAGTCTGTGTAGCCCAGTGTCCTGAAACCCATGGTCTGTGTAACCCAGTCTCTGAAACCCATGGTCTGTGTAACCCAGTCTCTGAAAACCCATGCAATGAGTAGGACTCTGGGAAGTGCTGAGGCTAACCTGGACCTTAGGTACTTGGCTCGGAATTGTGTTTTCCAGACCTTTTGTGCATTGTGTTAGTTTGCCACAGAGAGCTCCATGAGTTATGGCTTAGCCTCTGGTGTGACCCATGACTCGCATGGATGGTTGGGCTGAAGCCCTGGAAATTACCTCATGGTTTGTACCATTGGGCATTCTCTTTAAATTTCCCGCCCCGTAGTCTTATGGTTAGGGCTGAGGTAGCTGAGCACTGACATCACCTGCTGGAGCTCCGTGCTCTTTTTCCCACCATTCAGCATAGAGCAGGGGTCTCCAAACTTTTAAAATAAAGGGCCAGTTTTTTTTTCCTTCAGAGTTTAGGGGGGCTGGATTTTTGGCCGGTGGGGGTAGAAAATGTCCCCGGCAAAGCATCAGTGAGAATAAACATGGTCTTAGGCTTGGTGTTCAGTAGGAGGGAGTAGGTGCCCCATCATTGGTTTTGGTTGCCAGATAAAGGCTAGCAAAGGGCCACATCTGGCTTTCAGGCCACAGTTTGGAGACCATTGGCCTAAAGAAAACAATCTATTGCTGTTACTGCTTGGAAGTGCTCTTGGATAAAACAGCTCTCAGGTATCATTACATGGCAACTACAGTGACTTGGTCACTTCTGGCCGTCTACAACGTTTTACAGAAATGGTTTGCTTGGGTTTGTAAGTCACTTTGCAACTAATTCTTTTTTGTGGTGTAACACCATCTTTTCAAAGACATACAGAGGACAGAAGACCTCACTGCTCCTTCATCTCAGCCCATGCTCCTCAATTGTTATAGGGATGCACCCTATGGGAAACGGCGTTTTCCGTTTACAAATTTTTTGCTATATGAAAAGTCCCACAGAACTCACATACCTTTTGAATGGGCTGCCCTGGTAAGACGTAGAACATTTTACATCTATTTAAAATGATGGATCTTAGGATAGTGGAATATAAAAAAAAGCCCATACATAGTTGACAGGGCAGCTGACTAAAACCTTACCACCCCCATGCCTATCACCCCATTAGGGAATTCAGACACTGCTCTCGGCTATGAGAGGTGAAGCAACTGGCTCTAAGATATGATCTCATGTGTTGTTTTTTTGGTGTTTTTGTTTTAGATGGAGCTCTTATCCACTGAGCATTTTGCCACCCTCACAGTTTTAGGACTTGTCCTCTTCCTACACAACCACAAGTACTTCATTCTGGAAAATGAACTTAGAATAAAATTCTAAGTCCCGTTTTCATAATGGAACTTATTGTGGAATATGTTTCCTCTTTTGTTAACAAATTTTTGTATGGTGGGAACTTAGAATATTCTATTCTTTTCTGTTTTGGATGATGGGACTTAGAATATTTTCCTCTGTTTTGGATGGTGGGACTTAGAATATTTTCCTGTTTTGGATTGGTGGGACTTAGAATATTTTCCTGTTTTGGGTGGTGAGGACTTAGAATATTTTCCTGTTTTGGGTGGTGGGACTTAGAATATTTTTCCTCTGTGTTGGATGGTGGGACTTAGAATATTTCCTGTTTTGGATGGTGGGACTTAGAATATTTTCCTCTGTGTTGGATGGTGGGACTTAGAATATTTTCCTGTTTTGGATGATGGGACATAGAATATTTACCTCCCCACCTGGCCTCCCCCCCCCCTATCTCCCCCTCATCTCTTCCCTCCTCTGACCTCGCAACCGCACTGCCCCCCTCCACACCCAAAGACCCCGCTTACCGTAACCCCCACCAGCTCTGCACTCCTTCAGCCCCGCTTACCACTGAGGAAGTCACCAGGGGGTCTTCTCTGAAGCCCGCCTCACTACCTGCCCCTAGACCCTATCCCCTCTCGACTCCTCCAGTCACACCCTCATTCCCTCATCTGCTCCCTCACCCACAATCTTCAATCTCTCCCTCTCTACCGGCGTTATTCCCCTCCCCCCTAAAGCATGCGCACATCACTCAAATCACCCCCATACTCAAAAAGCCCTCCCTGGACCCCTCTGACCCAAACAACCTCAGACCCATCTCCCTGCTGCCACTCACTTCCAAAACTCCTGGGAGCGCTTAGTCTACAACCGCCTAAGCGCCCACCTAACTGACAACAACCTCCTTGATTCCACTACAGTCCGGCTTCCGTCCCCCTACACTCCACCGAAACCGCCCTCCTCAAAATCACCAACGACCTACTTACCGCCAAAGCCAAAGGCGACTACTCTGTCCTCCTCCTCCTGGACCTCTCCGCGGCCTTCGACACAGTTGACCACACCCCTCCTCCTCCTTAATAAACTATTCTCCCTTGGCATCAGAGACACCGCTCTCTCCTGGTTCTCCTCTTACCTATCCCGACGCTCCTTCAGCGTTTCCTACAAAGGTGCCACCTCCCCTTCCCTCCCCCTCTCTGTTGGGGGTCCCCCAGGGCTCTGTCCTTGGACCCCTTCTCTTCTCCATCTACACCTCCTCCCTTGGCAAACTCATACACTCCCACGGCTTCAACTACCATCTCTATGCTGATGACACTCAAATTTACCTCTCCATCCAACCCCTCACCTCACCTCCACTTTCTCCGCCCGCATCACTCACCTCCTAAACGACATCTCTGACTGGATGTCGCTCCATTTCCTCAAACTCAACCTCTCCAAAACCGAGCTTCTCGTCTTCCCTCCTGCCCGCGCCCCCCCCCCCATCCTATCCATCACTACTAACATCACCACCATCAATCCCGCCCCGCAAGCCAAAGTCCTTGGGGTCATTCTGGACTCTAACCTCTCCTTCCAACCTCATGTCAAATCACTGACAAACACATGCAGGCTCCACCTCCGCAATATCGCCAAAATACGCACCTTCCTTACCCCAAACTACTTGTGCACTCCCTGATTATCTCACGCCTTGACTACTGCAACTCCCTCCTCACCGGCCTACCCCAGTGCAAACTCTCCCCGCTTCAGACCATCCTGAACTCAGCTGCCAGACTCATCCACCTCACCAGCCGCTCCACCTCTGCCACCCCCCCTCTGCCTCTCCCTCCACTGGGCTCCCTATCGCCCAATCCGCATCAAATTCAAACTACTCACTCTGACCTACAAAGCCATTCACACACTGCCCCTAACTACCTCACCGACCTGATTCCCAAGTACCACCCTACCCGTACCCTTCGCTCTTCACAGGACCTCCTTCTATCTTGCTCCCTGGTCTCCCTCCTCACACACGCACGTCTGCAAGACTTCTCCAGGTCCTCCCCCATCCTCTGGAACTCACTACCCCAATCCATCAGACTGTCACCTTCCCTCCTCACCTTCAGGCGCTCCCTGAAAACCCACCTCTTCAGGGAAGCCCCCCACCCTCACCTAACTGCTGCTCTCCTTCATTCCTCCTACCACTCCATCCCCCACAGCCACTTCCTCCTGTACCACTACCCCCCTCCCTCCCAGATTGTAAGCTCGAAAAGAGTAGGGGCCCTCTTACCCCTCGTGTGCTGTTCGTAGCTGCTGTAATGTTTCATGTATTGTCCCCCCTCTATTGTACAGCGCTGAGCAAACCCTTTGGCGCTATATAAACTCAATGTAATATAATGTAATGTAATGTAATTTTCCTGTTTTGGGCGGTGGGACTTAGAATATTTTCCTCTGTGTTGGATGATGGGACTTAGAATATTCTATTCTTTTCTGTTTTGGGTGGTGGGACTTAGAATATTTTTCCTCTTTTTTGAATGGTTGGATTTAGGAGAATGGCATTGAGAAAAAAAAACCCCCAAACCGTTAACTTGACTAAAACCATATTGCCCCCCCAGGCCTGTCGCCTCAGTATGGTGATTGGACCTTGATCCTGGGCTATGAGAGGTGAAGCAGCCTGCTCTTGGATTCAATCTCATGTCTGTTTTATTTCTTTTTTTTTTTTTAATCAGACAGAGCTTTTATGCACTGAGCTACTGCCACCTCTCAGTCCTAGACTTTCTCCTCCTCCTACTTCACACGTTATTTTGTTTTCTTATTTTGACTGTTTTCAGGAAATATTTCTTTTATTTTGGCTGCTGGGGCTTAGAAGATTTTTCTTTAATTCTATTCAACTGGTAAGACTTAGATTATTTTATCACTATTTTGGACAATGTGACTTGGAATATTTTTCCTTTATTTTGGCTAGAGCCCAATGCATAGGAAATAGTCAAGCAGTTTTTTTTTTCTCATATTCCTATCATCTTTCCTGATGGTGTAGGTAGAAGGTGCATGGGTCTGGTGTCTACCAATTGTGCTGGAGATGTGTGTTCAAATCCCAGTGCTGGTAGTTAATTATATCCTTTGTTTTGGGCCAAGCCTGATATATGACTGATACCTGCCTGATATATGACAATGAACACCTTGGAATCTGAGTGCAGGTGATGGCTCAGACAGTAAGGACTCAGACTGGTCTGTGGGAGACATGAGTTCAAATCCCTATGATGGTGGATGTCCCAGGTGCTGTGCAATGCCTGAACCCCCTGTTGGTGGAACAGGGTAGTGTGGAATGTTTCAGGCTCACTACCTTGTCCCTAGGGCAAGGTGCTGGTGCTGTGCAGTACCTGGGTGTGTATATATGGATATGGTGAGGTCAAGAAATATTTAAAAAAAAACAAAAAGTTTTCTAAGTACCTGCTTTTTGAATGGGCTGCCCCGGTAAGACAGCCCATTGTATTTATATATGTTGCAGTGATGTCACAGACTGTGGACTGAAGAGGGGGGTGTCCACAACCTAATGTGATGCCCACACATGTTACAGGCCTGTGGGGGCCTGGGACTGGAGCAGACTGGTGGGTTGTCCATGGCCTCCAAGCTTTCACTCAGGGATTTGAGCTCGAGTCTACTGCGTTTCACAGATTTGCCCCCGGGGTCTGCAGCACTTTTCATGGTTTCACAC